AGGGGCAGTGCCAGGCCTGGGAGGGGTGTAGATGAGGGTGAGGGGCCGCATGGCCCAGGAGTTGGGATGTTTCCTCCTTCCGGCCTAGAAGGGAGCATGGCCGACGGCCCGGCTCACGCTTTCCTCACGGGAGCTAGAGAGGCCAGATGGGGTCTCTTCCCCTGCAGGCAAGGATCTGGCTCTGGGGCTTGGGCTGGGCTTTATGCTCACGAGGGCTCTGTTGCCCCCTGCTCACAGCAGCCCTTGAGCCTCACATCTGGCCAGACCCTTTGCAGTTTGCCTCTGTCCTATGCTGCCACCTCTGCCAGTCCCATCCCTTGCAGAGTCCTGACAAGCAGGGCAGGCCTGGACACTCAGGCAGCAGGTTTAAAACAAACCCAAGGAAGTTTTTCTTCATCCAGCGTACAGTCAACCTGCGGAACTCCTCGCCGGAGGATGTGAAGACCATAACAGAGTTACAAAAAGAGCAGGTTCATCAATGGCTGTGAGCCAGGCTGGGCAGGGATGGTTTGGTTGCCTCTGTCAGGGGCTAGGAATGGGTGATGGGGGAGGGATTGCTCAATTCCCCCTGGGCCACGTGGCATTGGCCGCTGTGGGCAGACAGGACCCTGGGCAAGATGGGCCTTTGGTCTGGCCCAGCCTGGATGTTCTTATGTTTGACAGCACTGGGAACAGATCTCAGGGACAATGACTTTTGGGTGCCTCAGTTTCCCCGCCTCTCATGGGGATAACGCCCAAGGCAGTGGGGCTCAAATTACTGCTGTCGGGGCACCGCGGCCCGTCCGAGGAGAGAGGCTATCGAAACGCAGACGGGTTTCCATCGTGTCCCCTGCGTGCGCTTAGCTCACCCGTCTCTGTTCCGCAGCTCTGGGCCAGCTTCACGGAGGCTGTTTGCCAGGACGCTGGGCTGAGGCCGGGTCTCTGTCTGCCTTGTGCCAGGGAACCGTTCCCCTGCCCCGGTGGGCTGGAGCGTGCGGGCCGGGCGGGAGGGGAGCTGGCATTGGCAGAGTGCCTGGCCTGGCCGACCTGCAGAAAGCAGCCTCCTGTTTGGTCTTGTCCCGAAGGAACCAGCCTCCCCAAGAGCAAAGCCAGAGCCCCGCTGACAGCTTGGCTGGTGTCTGCCTGTGCCAGTAAGTGGGACCCCCCTTTCTCCCAGGCCTGCGGCCAGTAGTGGGGGGGGGGGACCAGCCCAGCC